GGTGCCTTTTGGTAGTTTTGGAATTTTGAATAAAATATTTTTGGCGTTTCCGTGGCAACAAGTTTTGACTTAGCCTGAAATTGGTGGTAGTACACTTTTCCGGAGCTGAACTCTAAAACCATTCACTATTTCTTCACCAAACTTGGCACATAGATTTGTCTGGTGGTGTACTGATGCCTTTTGGTAGTTTTGGAATTCTGAATAAAATATTTTTGGCATTTCCATGGCAACAAGTTTGACTTAGACTGAAATTGGTGATAGTGCTCCTTTCTGGAGCAGAACTTTAAAAACCTTTCAATACTCTCCTTCCACTTTTCTATATACACACCTAAATATCTGACATAATCATAACTCGTAGACATAATCATGAAGAGTATTTTGCCATTGCGGGGGATATTGATGACTTTGTCTTCTTGTGAAATTTATATTGAAAGTTACTATTATCCCTGCGCCATATAATGCCGGGGAATATAGTCAACACCTCCACTGGTAGGTAACTTTGTTGCAGTGAGAGTGGAGTCTTTGTGATTTTTGTGACAGGATATGTGTTATGATAAGATATAATGGTAATTATAGCTTTAGTTTATGGTATTAAAGACTATAAATTTCCTAATCAACACATTATATCATCATGCAACTTTATAATTTACTTAACCTTTAGCCTGCTGAATTAATTTGAGCATAAGTCGTTGTAAAGAGGGTGGGTGATTTCAAACAGTCAGTGTGTCATTAAATAATGTACAACTGAAACAATATTTGACACATTAATGCTAGATAGAAAAATTAACATTATTATCCAAAAATATCCTAATAATTTCAAAAATACAGAGGTTAATGACAAGGCAAACATAAATAATATAAATTTTTCTCTCCCAAATTGTCATTGGTAAAGACACTAAGGATCTATGAATGCATTAGCAAAGTGTAAATAACCAATTTTCTATTACTGTCTTTCAGTGATGTTTAAAATCAACAATTTTACATAATTATTTAATACAACGATACCATAAAATACATGGATAGATGTTTCGTAATATTTTGTGTATTTTGTTTCTATACAATATCTTGCTAAAAAATAAATCAAATACAGATGGGTGATGAGCTATTTTTGTTTTCAACAGTATCTCTTTGTTTTGTGAATTATTTTCAATCACAAATAACTAGTCTTACGGTTAATAATTTGCCGTGACAAAAAAGTCCCCTTTGAACCAGCAAAATAGAACACAGAGAAGTATAAAATATTCAATAATATATTGAACAAACAATGAGCAAGCTACAATGAATGGCAATACAGATTTTTAGAACAATGACATTGAGTCACAAATATAAAATATTAACTCTCCAGAGTCTTGACATTTTCAGTGAGAGCAGATATACTGATTGAAGGTTGCTTACAGTGACAGTAGATGAATAGGCAAGCACTGTCAGTCTTGAATGTTGAATTACTTTACGATTGCAGACAGATGTGTATAACTCCAGTGATACGATAAGTCATGTGTTGCACAATGCAACAACCAGCCTTTTATATAGCTCTTACACAGTTCTCAAGCATTCTAGCAAAGCTAGGAGCATCATTATTCGCTCAGAATGTTATCGAAATCTTGTGGAACACACGGCATGATGAAAGCGGTAAACAAACAAGATTGCCAAGGGAGACAACTCTGAAGTGCTATCAAAAAAGATGCCACAGAACACATATGATGCAAGATGTGAGCCAAAACCCACACTCAAAACTTTATACATTGTGACCCATAATAACTGTCACTTAATCCATGTGATATTACAAATTACAAAAAACACTCTCTCATAACACTAGTGTCATTTATGCTGTTGCGGTAACAGTATATTTATCATTTGATGAAAACAGAGACCATATACATGTAATAAATTATATGATCTCTGATGAAAGTCAACAGGCCTCATATTCTGTTAAAATTAAAGTAAAGAGAAATTATCTTACCTTAGTATCTTTTCCTGGGTTTCGGGAACAATCACATAATATGAAATTAGCCTACTGAACTTTCAAGGATTTTTGCTGTGTGCTGAAGTGTCTGATAGTGATATGCTCCTATTACTAGTGTTGGGAATCGAAAACCAAATCCACTATCGATTATCAGAGGACTTGTGGTGAACGATTATCGATTATAATCGAAAAATATACATTTTTAATGTAAGCACCAATTTTAAGGGTTTTCCCCCAGTTTTTGTCTAATTAATGCTTTTTATCCCACCGGCATATAATGCGGTGGGATATAGTCGTCCGTCTGTCCGTCCGTCCGTCCGTCCGTAATCATTTTGTTTCCGGACCATAACTCAAAGACCGTTCGATATTTTTTAACCAAAATTGGTAGATATGTCAAAAATAACCTAAGGTGGTGCCTTTTGCTATTTAAAGATAATTGTAATTTTTATTTTTCTCGGTTTCCATGGAATCGTTTTGGACTTAGTCTTAAAGAAGGGTGGGCTTCGTTTCCAGAGCATAACTCAAGAACCGTTCAATATTTTTCAACAAAACTTGGTAGATGTATGAAACAGAACCTTAAGTGGTGCCTTTTGCTATTTGCAGATTTTTGGCATTTTTATTTTTCCCAGTTTCCATGGAAACATTTTGGACTTAGTCTCAAAAAGTAAGGATTGCTTTCGTTTCCGGAGCACAACTCAAAAACCGTATAATATTTTTCAACAAAACTTGATAGATATATCAAACAGATCCTAAAGTTGTGCCTTTTGCTATTTGCAGATTTTTGGCATTTTTATTTTTCCGGTTTCCATGGAAACGATTCGGACTTAATCCTAAAAGTGAGGGTGGGCTTCATTTCGGGCACAACTCAAAAACCTCTCTATATCTTTCAGCAAAACTTGGCAGATATGTGAGGCAGATATTGAAGTGATGCCTTTTGCTATTTGCAGATATTTGTGATTTATTATTTTCTCGGTTTCCATGGAAATGATTCGAACTTAGTCTCAAAAGGAAGGGATGGGTTTTGTTTCCGGAGCACAACGCTAAAACTTCTTAATATCTTTCAGCAAAACTTGGCAGATATGTGAGGCAGATCCCAAAGTGGTGCCTTTTGCTATTTGCAGATTTTTGTCATTTATTTTTTTCATGATTTCCATGGAAACGATTTGCACTTAGTCTAAAATCAAGCTGGACTTTAAGTAACTGTCAGATGATTTGTTCTTTCAAAGATGTGGGGGCCGGGGGGATATGTCATCTTCTGATGACTCTTGTTTATAACTAATATGCAATGAAATGCATGCATGCAAGTAAGAACCTGGAATTGTAATTAAACAATAAAAGTGGTTAAAATTTTACAATGCGCATAGCTTTACACTGTTGAGCGCATGTTTGTTCATGAATATTCATCAAATTAAATGGTTAGTATACCTTATTCAAGGGTGTTCTACAAAAACAACCCAATTCTGATTAATTAAAAATATTTTTTTTACAATCGATAATCATTTTTAATCCTTTTTTCGATTGATTTTCGAATTTTTTTCCATCATCGGAACACCACTACCTATTACTACAGTATGTAAAATTGCCTCTGCCATCAAAAAACCAAAAATGTCAAGAACAGTCTTCTTTGAATTAAATAATGCCAAAACCTGAGCACTCTTTCGTTTAGGGTCTGTATTGTTGTTGCCACATATATACTGGACAAAAATAGTTAGGGATATATGTAAATTTTGAAATTATGAATAATGATCTATTAATTCATTGACACACTGATAAAATATCAATCATAAAAATACCAATATCCCTAACTTATTTTGTCCAGTATATATGCCAATAAAAAATCCAAATTTTAATCTCAATGAATTAGCTCCATACTGGACAACAAAATTCATTTATTGCAGGGCTCGATTTAGGGAAAGGAAGCCTATTTGCCCCTGTGCCACCTTATGTGATTACCTGGGTCCACCTCCTGCTCAATATAGGATTATCTATTACTTTTGGTTTTGATATTGCTGATTTACAGCATCATCACAACAAAATCATTCTGGGTCTGGTATGATAATTTTATATTACTTATATTTCATGACATGAACAAAAATGGTCACTCTTTCAATCACTGGCAGTGTAATCCTTGCTCCAAGCCAGTGTGGGACATCAGTCTGTTTCCCTGATGAAGTATGTTTTTTAACAGCAAAATATGAACATGCACAGTGTGCAGGTAGTTATAAATATGAGGTTACATTTTGCAGTTTAGGTTGGACCAGTGCAAATTATAAATGCTAAATCGAGTCATGCACTGGGTCATTTGACCAGTAATTTTTTTATAAAAAAATGAACACTCGTCAAACAATGTGAAAAACAGGTAGGTAGAATTAAAACTTTGAAAGCTCTGCTTTTTGAGGCAACAATTATTTCAATTTTGCTCCTCCTTGGAGAACAAATGATGTGCTGTTGAGCTGTTTTAATGTCTAAAATATATACCGATTTTGAGTGAAATGCACTCACACAGACTGTGACTATTTTTATTTCTTTCCCTCCCCGTATAGTCGACGCCTCGTCAGTCTGTCTGTCCGTCCGTCCGTAATCATTTTGTTTCCAGAGCATAACTCAAAACCGTTCCATATCTTTCAACAAAAATTGGTAGATATATCAAACAGAACCCTCAAAAGTCGTTTAATATCTTTCAACAGAACTTGGCAGATTTATGAGTCAGATCTTGAAGTGGTGCCTTTTGCTATTTACATGTTTTTGGCATTTTTGTTTTCCCGGTTTCCATGGAAACGATTTGGACTTAGTCTTAAAAAAATTAAATTGGACTTTAAATAACTGTCAGATGATTTTTCTTTCAAATATGTGGGGGCCAGGGGGATATGTCATCTTCTGATGACTCTTGTTCTGCTCAGTTTTTGTTCAGGTTTCAACATGTTCCCAAGAAATGTTCTCTAAATGATGAATGGTGCTCAGAATTCTGGTCTTAAACTTTTGAAAATATCTTGTATTGTTGTCAGAACTAATTTGCATTTTGTCTTTTTATCTATAGAGTATGATGAGCCACATGCCCTGGTTGCTTTGGTAGAAGAGGAGCTTGTAGTTATTGACCTTGATACCTGTGATTGGCCCACTATCCAACTTCCATATCTGGGAAGTATCCACTCGTCGGCTATCACTTGCTCACACCATGTCAGCAATGTTTCAAATCAACTGTGGCAGAAGATCATTGATGCAGGACATGCACAGAACAAACAGTACTCCCAGAGAGTAAGTAGTTTTTTCAATGAAGTAAGAATTTTATTTGATTTCAAAATATTTCAGCAAACATCAAGATATCACTGCAAATGTTTTGATCCAGTCTTGTCATTGTAGTCCAGTTGAGCTTCATCTACCATCATGTAAACATTTCTTTTACTAATGAACTAACTTCACTTTCTTTTTTAAACATGGGAAACGTGAACATCTCAGAAATATCATATTGTATGTTGTCTCATTTTTCACAGCGGGCTAGTTTATGACACATTGACTTTTCATGTAAAGGGTCAAGGTTAGTGTTGTAACAAACACGGGGGTTGGTTGATCATTTTAATCCTATCAGTAGATACTATTGTTAATTGTAATATTGCAGATCGATGGGAAAAAAAGGAAACTTTTTAAAATATCTTTCTTACTGCTGTCATTTTGTCATTTAACATATAACTGGTATGAATTTTGTGATGGAGCACCGACTTGTATGTTGTCCATTTTTGCCTTCTTTTGTGTTTTTTACTTACCTATATATACACTGGTACCTGACACTCTTGCTCCATCTCGCCATTGTTTTAGTACCTATATATACACTACAGGGTTCACCACCTGACCTGCCTCTTGCTCCATCTCGCCATTGTTTTATGATCCCACTCCTCCGCCCAGGTAAACTCCTCCTCCTTCAGTCATAGGTATTGCTCAGGTAAACATACCTACGCAGCTACAGCTGGCTTGCTCCAGCTGCCATACATACAGGTTAAACATACCTCTGGCGCTGGCCCTCCACCAGCTGCCATACAGGTAAACATACCTACAGGTAAACATGCTGGCCCTCCACCAGCTGCCATACAGGTAAACATACCTGCGCTGGCCCTCCACCAGCTGCCATACAGGTAAAAATATACCTGCGCTGGCTCTCTACCAGCTGCCATACAGGTAAAAAACATACCTGCCATACAGCTGGCTCACTACCAGCTGCCATACAGGTAAAATATACCTACACGCTGGCTCGCTACCAGCTGCCATACAGGTCAACATACCTATGCACTGGATATTCTCCAGCTGCCATTACAAGTAAACATACCTACACGCTGGATCTCCACCAGCTGCCATAACTCTACATATTGTTGCCTGTCTCATTACACTTCACAGCAAAAAGAAATGATTCTGTATAATGCTACAACAAATGAATAAAAACAAAATGCAAATATTAATATTAAAACAGACTAAAGTTATAGCAACAATGTCAGGCTATTACCTTGTTTGAGGAATGTATCCATCAATATATCCACATAAAGGAACAATATGCCATTCATCTGCAGCTGACAAAGAATCCTGCTCCATGTCATGTGTCTTTTAATAGTCTAATTTGCGAAAAAGTTATTATATCGTTTCAGGTATTTCACATTAGTGTATAGTCTCATTGGTCACACAAGATAGCACACCTGGCAACTAATTGCATGATGTCCACCATTCTTTAACAAAGTAATTTAGTTGGCCAATAATAAACTATCAAGCAATGTTTTGGCGGTTATTCCTTGGAAGGAAGGACGTTGTTTTTACACGGGCACTTTACGACAAGGTGCATTCAGCATAGATTAGTAAATCTACATACATAAACACTACCTTTTGAAAAATCCACTGTGCAAGATAAAAGCAATTAATCAGCATGTTATCGGTTAATCCTTTGATCGATGTTTGTTTTTGTAACTCAGCTGATAATTCCTCTTGCTGCACTTCCATGCGCATATTACATAACATGTAATACATTTGCCACATCAAACTTAATTCATAATGTTGAGTATTTACTCCAGACACAAGAAATGCCAAATGGGAACCTTTGTCGGTAATCAGGGTGGTGTTACCACTAATAATACCTTTTATAGATTCTTTAACTGACCATCAAATGAATGATGACAAATAACATGTGTATGTTTACCACCAAACGAGGGTTACAGCAAGGGAGTACGGTAGTACTCACTGTATTGCATGCAATTTTGATTGCCTGAAAAAAACTTATGGGCCGACACTGTTTTGAGGATACAAACGGAACTTCATTGTTGCATAAGAAATACATATAAGCATTTGCTGTGTATTTTAGTTAAAAACTGTATATACCTATGTACCTAAGTAAATTTTCAGATATTTCTAGCAATGGCAAAGTGGAGTTGTTTGGTTTACGGATTCAAATACATCAAATGTGTGTTTTTAATATCATAGCATAGGTAATAAACATCATATTATCACAGGACATGATTGAATATCGAGGTAAAAAACCCAGAAATAGGATCAAATTGGATCAGTCACTATACCATCCAGGCATTAGAAAATCTGAAAACGTTTACACTGCTGGGATAATTTATTACAATCAGACAAGAACTACTGGGGATATTTTCAAATAATGTCCCAACTTCCTAATGTCCCGCTGTTTAGGTGAAGAAAATCTGCCAAGGTGGACAGTAGCCCAGTCCCCGTGTCCGTCACGGTCGAGGGAGCAGGTAGTGACCAGCCTGCAGCTTGGCTTCGTAATTAGACTGTTGGCTAGAAGCATTAATCACTCTGGATCAGTGCTCCTTTAATGTTGTATGAAATATAGTTTCATTTGTATTGTATTATTTATGAAAAGATTTGTTTCAGTTATTTCCAGTGGTCTGCCTTAGTTTTGATAGTAATGCTATACCTTTTAATAGGATTCAAGTATCAAGTCCACATTTCCAGATTCACTATAAACTAGTAATTTACTCTTTTAAGTAAATGTCCTGCTTCTACTTCTGGCTCTGACAGCAGTTTCTGCCCTGTCTGTCACAGGCAAAGATCACACTTTACATCCAGTAGCCAATCAGAAGATGAATGGAAATCCTTGCTGTTTCCATGGTTTCATCCCAACCTTTAACTTAGCATATACAACTTGTTCTCTAATATGTTTTATTTTATTTCCTGACCGCCTCCGTGGTGTAGTGGTTAGAGCGTCCGCCCGGAGAGCGGAAGTTTGTGGGTTCGATCCCCGACCGCGTCAAACCAAAAGACGTTAAAATATGGTACTTGTTGGTCCCTGCTTGGCGCTCAGCATTAATGGGTACAACAAGGACTGGTCGGCTCGGAGTCAGTATAATGTGTCTGAGTGGGGTATTCATGCTTCACTGCGGCATGGTATCTCAGTGGGCTAGCACTATAAAACCAGCTTAAGTCTGGGCTAGTACAAGCAGCCGCACACATACATACACGCATGCACGTCGTCATATGAGCGAAATATTCTCAAGCACGACGTAAAAACCCAATTTCACCTCATTTCACCTTATTTTATTTCCTATTTTGTTTTGTAGGAATGGCCTATCAAAGGAGGTAAAAGTCTCTCTAAAGACCCAGCCACAAAGGACATGCTTCTTACAGGGTAAACATCCAGTTGGCATAGAATATCATACTAGAAAAAAAGTAACAGCTTCTTATGCAGTTATGCAAATTGCATGTTATTGAAGATGACTGCACAATATTTGGTTGTTATTTTTGTCAATGTTGAAAACTGATTGACCTAACCCATGCCTGGTAACAGGACACACTAAAGTACTGTTGGAAACAGAAAAAAAACTGTTTTTAGGCTGTTACTCTGTATCCCTGCAAATAGCATATCTCGAAATAACCCACATCGGCCTAACTGGGCGTTCGGTGGGATACGTAATAAGATATCCAGAAAAGCATGTTTGCTCGTAAAATCTGACGGAACTTAGACAAAATACGAACAGCTGCTGAAAACAATAGATCAGCCTATAGATGGCAATTAGGTCGCTCAGCCAGGTATGATGACGGACCATTGACTTGCCTGGCATGAAATGCATGTGCTGCCTACAGGCACAAGTGTCTTTCTTTCATTAGGTTTATGTTGAGATATGTAAAAGAGTATGATACCATTAGGACAGCTAAAATCAGCCATCTTATATGTCTTAAAATTCCACCCGAAGATCGACAGGACTGGATACTATTTGTAAATTGTTATGACATGCTGTTTACTTCCCCAATTTAATTCCCCTTAAGGATTTTCTTATCTCAGCTGATATCTCTATCCCCCAGCCCAAACCCAACCACCTTCTGCAACAACCCACCCTGGTTTTGCTTTTGAGATGACCCCTCCTACCTGTTTTTAGTGAAACATCCTTAATAGTTTCAGTATTAAAATTATTATTTTTACGTCGACTATCGTTTATAATGAAGCTAAGTCAAATTTCAAAAAGGGCATTTAGTAAGTGGCCTTTGTAATACAATATCATTGCACATTAGTTTGCATAGAGCCATTGTATGTTCCAAATAAGTTGCTTTGGACTTAGAAAAAAAACCTGCATTGCTCATTTCTGCATTAATCTCTCCTCAGTAACGTTTCCTATCTCCCTACCACTGAGACTAGTTAGGGCGAACTTAGTTTAACAGATATTTCACACTTTCACATATTAACTACATAAATTGTACATGTGAAACAACAGGTTTTTTATCCCCCTGCATGTAATGCGGGGGGATATAGTCGACGCCTCATCCGTCTGTCAGTCCGTCCATAATCATTTTGTTTCCAGTGCATAACTTAAAAGCCAACCAACAAAAATTGGTAGATATATCAAACAGAACCTAAGGTGGTGCCTTTTGCTATTTACAGATTTTTGTCATTTTTATTTTTCTCGGTTTCCATGGAAACGTTTTGGACTTAAAGGGGGGTGGGCTTCGTTTCCGGAGCATAACTAAAAAAACGTTCAATATTTCTCAACAAAACTTGGTATATATATCAAACAGATCCTTAAGTGGTGCTATTTGCAGATTTTTGGCATTTTTTCTTTTTCTTTTTTTTTTTGGTTTCCAAGGAAACGATTCGGGCTTAGTCCCAAAAGGGAGGGGGTGGGCTTCGTTTCCAGAGCACAACTGGAAAACTTCTCAATATCTTTCAGCAAAACTTGGCAGATATGTGAGGCAGATGCCAAAGTGGTGCCTATTGCTTTTTGGCAGAATTTTGGCATATTTATTTTTCCTGGTTTTCATGGAAACGAATCGGACTTAGTCCCATAAGTGAGGGGTGGACTTCGTTTCAGGAGCATAACTCAAGAACCGTTCAATATTTTTCAACAAAACTTGGTATATATATATATATCAAACAGAACCTCAAGTGGTGCCTTTTGCTATTTACAGATTTTGGCATTTTTATTTTTCCGGGTTTCCATGGAAACGATTAGGACTTACTCCCAAAAGGGAGGGGTGGGCTTCATTTCCGGTGCACAACTCGAAACGTGTTCAGTATCTTTTAACAGAACTTGGCAGATATGTTAGCCAAATTTTGAAATGGTGCCTTTTGCTATTTACAGATTTTTGGCATTTATATTTCTCATGATTTCCATGGAAATGATTTTTAAAACTAACTGTCAGATGATTTGTTCTTTCAAATATGTGGGGGCCGGGGGGATATGTCATCTTCTGATGACACTTGTTTTCTATTTCTGACAGTACTTTAGTAACATGCCCTAAAGAGCGATAGTGTAACAACTTATTGAACTATGTCAATCTTGGGTGTGACTACCATAAACGTTAATGCAGGCCAGGAAGCACTGTCCATTGACGACAATAGATCATTGGATACAGCCTGAAAGATTTTGTTCAACTGAGCTTTGGTTTTGGAACCTCTCATAGGAATGGTTCCATCTCTTTTGACACGTGCAGTGTCACAAAATCTGTTAAAATGCATGCAATATGTGGGCAGACATATTCCTGCTTATGTGACAATTTGTCATTGCATTTGCTCTAAAAGGACTGGATCTCCTTGTAGCATGTGCCCTTTTTATCCCCCGCAACGCGTTTTGCAGGGGGTATTAAAATGGACTCCGTCCGTCCGTGCACATTTGTCTTTTCCAGAGCAGAACTCTAAAACCATTCAATATTTCTTCACCAAACTTGGCACATACATGGATCTGGTGGTGTCCTGGTGCCTTTTGGTAGTTTTGGAATTCTGAATTAAATATTTTTGGGGTTTCCATGGCAACAAGTTCGACTTAGACTGAAATTGGTGGTAGTGCTCTTTTCCGGAGCTGAACTCTAAAACCGTTCAATATGTCTTCACCAAACTTGGCACATAGATAGATCTGGTGGTGTTGTGGTGCCTTTTGGTAGTTTTGGAATTCTGAATAAAATATTTTTGGCATTTCCATGGCAACAAGTTTGACTTAGCCTGAAATTGGTGATAGTGCTCCTTTCTGGAGCAGAACTTTTAAACCCTTTCAATACTCTCCTTCCACTTTTCTATGTACACACCTAAATATTTGACATAATCATAACTCGTAGACATAATCATGAAGAGTATTTTGCCATTGCGGGGGATATTGATGACTTTGTCTTCTTGTAATTGCTAGCTGTGTCTCAGAAGAAAATAGTTCCTCAAAAGGAGACGTAGCATGAGCACATGTATGCTGAAATTACTCTTCAGTAACATCTTTTGAAGTTTGGTTACAGCAAATTCATTCATGAGGTGAGGAAAGAGAAGATATACATTCATGAAATGAGGAGAGCGTTCAGTAGTATCTCAGTAATGTGGTTGCAGCTTCATAATACATTTATTTATATCAAGGATAGGCTGATGAGGTGAATGTTAAAATCATTAATTACTCTGTGGCATTTCCTTGTGTTGGTCATCATTAACAATCTGGCAGATGATTGAAAGGTGATTACACAGATGTCAGATACAGAGGTTAATTCACATGTTGCTTTTGACTGTCTAGACATGGATTAATTGATAGTTTGGATGTGTATTTTCTTTTTGTTCATTGCAATGGGTCATAGCAAGGATATTTGTGGACAGGCATGCAGTCAAGCTTTTAATTTTACAAACTTACACTTTAGTGCCGGGATCATGATTAAAGGGTCTCAATCATCAGAAACAATCACTTCTGTATTTGTGCAAGGGAATTAAAAGTTTGTTCTCTTGTTGGTGAACATTGACAATCCTTTCATCCATTGGAAAAGCTGTTTATTGTGTAAACTTTACATTTGACGTGGGATGATACCTGGAATTCATTATATTTGAAAAAACAACCTAGTTTGAAAAGATATCCTTCATGAACACAACACACATGCAAAAGGGATTGAGATAATCTCATTACAGTCAGATGATGGTTTTAAAATCAGATCTTAACTTTGACTGTTGGGCTGTATTCAGTCTTGACCAATATTCAATAATATGATGTAAACTATACTTTGTTGGTGCGTGTTTTTCACATGTTTGTTTTCATCTAACAATGCTGAGGATTTTCCATTTAGAAATGTACGAGTCTTTAAGGAAATGTATAATCTTTTATTCAGACATGAAGATGGAACAGTGAGATTTTGGGATGCATCATCTGTCACACTCCGATTACTGTACAGACTTGGCACAGTCAGTCTTTTTGCTGAATCACACATGCCAGAAAATAACTCAAATGGTGCTGATGAAGAGGAGTGGCCTCCCTTCCGGAAGGTTAGTGCTTTAGCTCTCCTTGACCTGTCAAAATTGTTAGTCCATCCATCGGTAGAGCTTACTTTGTTTTTGTAAACTATATGGTACACAACATATGGTAGTTAACTATTGTGCTCTTATGACAAATATGTGTCAAGCTTGGGCTGTCTTGACTCTGTGACAGCGATTTATCTTAATCAAAGTCATTAACTCATAGTTTCATTCAGATATAGTGGTCAGCCAGGTTTGATGTGAAGACTTTTTAACAATGCAGCCCCATGTGAATCACTTGGCTGCTGTATTAAAAATAAATAAATGTCCTCTACTCACTTTCTTCAAAATGTTTTGAAACTAAGAATTTGTAATGTTGTGGGATTCAGGTGATATGTTTTCTTGGTGAAAAAATGAATTTGCTATCGTTTGATCAGTGATCTTTGATCCTCTTAAAATGCATATTTGGGTTTTCTTCTTCCGATATATATTTATCCCACCGGCATGGATATATGCGTGGGATATTTATCCCACCGGCATGTCCATAATTATTTTGTTTTCGATCATAACTCAAAGACCGCTTTGATATATTTTTCAAAAAATTGGTAGATATATCAAACAGAACCTTAAGTGGTGCCTTTTGCTATTTGCAGATTTTTGGCATTTTTATTTTTCCCGGTTTCCATGGAAACGATTCAGACTTAGTCCCAAAAGTGACTCGAGCATAACTCAAGAACCGTTCAATATTTTTCAACAAAACTTGGTAGATATATCAAACAGAACCTTAAGTGGTGCCTTTTGCTATTTGCAGATTTTGGGCATTTTATTTTCCGGTTTCCATGGAAGCGATAGTGGTGCCTTTTGCTATTTGCAGATTTTTGGCATTTTATTTTTCCCGGTTTCCATGGAAACGATTCAGACTTAGTCCCAAAAGTGAGGGGTGGGCTTCGTTTCCGGAGCATAACTCAAGAACCGTTCAATATTTTTCAACAAAACTTGGTAGATATATCAAACAGAACCTTAAGTGGTGCCTTTTGCTATTTGCAGATTTTGGGCATTTTTATTTTTCCCGGTTTCCATGGAAACGATTCAGACTTAGTCCCAAAAGTGAGGGGTGGGCTTCGTTTCCGGAGCACAACTCGAAAACGTCTTAATATATTTCAGCAAAACTTTGCAGATATGTGAGGCAGATCCCAAAGTGGTGCCTTTTGCTATTTGCAGATTTTTGTCATTTTTATTTTTCCCGGTTTCCATGGAAACGATTCGGACTTAGTCCCAAAAGTGAGGGGTGGGCTTCGTTTCCAGAGCATAACTCAAGAACCGTTCAATATTTTTCAACAAAACTTGGTAGATATATCAAACAGAACCTTAAGTGGTGCCTTTTGCTATTTGCAGATTTTTGTGATTTATTATTTTCTCAGTTTCCATGGAAACAATTCGGACTTAGTCTCAAAAGGGAGGGGTAGGTTTTGTTCCGGAGCACAACTCGAAAACTTCTTAATATATTTCAGCAAAACTTGGCAGATATGTGAGACAGATCTTGAAGTGGTGCCTTTTGCTATTTGCAGATTTTTGTCATTTATTTTTTTTCATGTTTTCCATGGAAATGATTTGCACTTAGTCTAAAATCAAGCTGGACTTTAAGTAACTGTCAGATGATTTGTTCTTTCAAAGATGTGGGGGCCGGGGGGATATGTCATCTTCTGATGACTCTTGTGTTCATTAGATGTTAGTGGGGTTTTGTTTTTCAATACTATAAAAAATAAGTTCCAATACCAATGATGACAGCAACAGCTGTTCTTGTCTTGTCTTTGTTGACTGTTGACTGTCTGGGTTAGCCATACTAACAATGGCACCAATTTCACAGTCTGCCATGGTGGCTATGTGACCTGCACATATGCTTACAATCTGAAGTTTCATGAGACCTGAAGTGCAAATTACTTTTAAATGTTGGTGTTGTACTGCATTGTGTTTTCTCTAAACCAGGAGTGATGTTGCTAAACCGAGTGACATCTAGTTATCCCCTGCAACGCGTTTTGCGGGGGGTATTAAAATTGACTCCATCCGCGTCGTCTGTCTGTCCGTGCACATTTGTCTTTTCCGGAGCAGAACTCTAAAACCGTTCAATATTTCTTCACCAAACTTGGCACATAGATCTGGTGGTGTACTGGTGCCTTTTGGTAGTTTTGGAATTCTGAATAAAATATTTTTGGCATTTCCATGGCAACAAGTCTGACATAGACTGAAATTGGTGATAGTGCTCCTTTCTGGAGCAGAACTTTAAAAACCTTTCAATACTCTCCTTCCACTTTTCTATATACACACCTAAATATTTGACATAATCATAACTCGTAGACATAATCATGAAGAGTATTTTGCCATTGAGGGGGATATTGATGACTTTGTCTTCTTGGTTGCAAATTATTCTGGGTCGGGATGTTTTCTGCAAAACCAGAAATGATTTCATTAAAGGTCACATGCAACCAAAAAATCAAACATAATTAAAACACAATTATCACTTATTCATGACATATAATATACATTGCTGGTAATGAAAAAACATATAAACAAAATTATAAGCGTACAATCGCAAATCAAAAGTGCAATATTGTGTACTTCGGTTTACTTCCCAAGAAACGAAACAGCCGGGATACTGAACCCAGTCAGAGCGGGTGGGTGTGCACTCAAGTGTAACGGCTGGTTCATTTGCAGATGCCCTCACGGTTAATTGTGTGTATATATATAGAGATGTTGGGTTTTGTAAATACATGCTCATTTTTTGTGTATAACATTTTGCAATCAACAGACATCATAACATGTCATGTGTTCAAGTATCACACCTGCCTGTCTGTGTAATTACATAATGTGACAGAGACCGAACTCGGGCCATAAATCAATGCATTTTGTTTATGGTGTATAGCCTGATTGGTGTTAAGTTCAAATTGCATGTGGTCAGTGATAGCAGCTGTGTAGTGAATATTGTCATTAGCAGACAGGCAGGCAGACACACAGGTGTCAATAAAACAAGACATTGAGTTTTGTCTGTGACAACGACATATCTATATCACAGTTAGAAATTCTGTCAACGCTAAATAATGACATTGCTTTTAAGTATCGAACTGAGAAAATGACTCGGTAAGAAGAACGTGTGGTGAAATAGACAAATGAAATTATATAAACAGTTAATTTACTGTCATAACATATAAAAAGCTCGCGCCTGTGAGATATCAACAAAACATTAGAAAAATAGCTCACACCAAAGCCTTCACGGAGTATTCACCGGACAACCCGCTTCCAACCTGCGCGAACCTATTTCACTGCGCACATGCTATGAGCGCAGCCCAGCTGTTGAAACCCGTTTTCCCCAGAAAAGTCTGGGGAAACTTAGTGAAACGTTTGAACTCCTGATTTCGCACGGTTTTTATCATCGCGTTATTTTTCAACTTTATAAGTTGAATTTGCATTTTTGACGATTTGTTTCGGTAAGTCCATACCGAAAGGTATCAGAATCTGCAAAGTTGTGTTTTACGTTGCATGTGACCTTTAAACAAAATGTTCATATTACTTGATGATTTCAAACATACTGGTTTCAATAATCATCTGATATCTCTGATATGTTACAGTTAACTGTGTTTAAATTTGTATTTGTTTCTTACAAACATGCACTGTGGTAAATTTGAACCTTTAGAACTTGAGGAAGGATAACAATATATGGATGAACAACTTCTTTATTGCTGTGAGAGCTGTCGTCTTCATGGAGACGTGGCAATTTCAACCATCAACAGACTCAGCGACCTGGAAAAAAGGTATGTAAATTCCTCCAACCAACTCACAGCTCTCACAGCAATAAATTTGTTCATCCATATATTGTTATCTTTCTTTACTGCCCCAACTTCTAAATGCCTCTCAAAGAAGTCAATAGAACTTGCTTTTCAATATCATATCAGTTGCTTAAATGAGAATTTCCGCATCTCATCACACAGTTATTACTATTCATTGTCAACTGTATTGGAGATTTTGTAGGAACATGCCATGTTAGATCTATGGTGTGAACAAAAGAGAACCAAAAAGTAAACTTTAACCTTTAGCCTGCTGGATTAATTTCAGCATAAGTTGCTGTAAAGGGGGTGGGTTATTTCGAACAGTTTGGGCTTCATTAAATAAGGGACAATTTACAAACATACAAATTTATACTTATCCTGCTTTTAAGCCCATGGGCGTCAATTAGATTTTGAAAATGGAGTGATCTCCCTAACAGATGATTGCTGAAGCATGTTTACACTGAAAGGTTCAAATCAGTATTGCACCTTTAGTGCTGTTGTTAGGGGATTTCATTTTTACAAACCACATTGGACACCTACATAGGAACCCTTTTGGACACCCAGGGCGATCATCTTAACCCTTATGACAAATACACTGTCTGTTTTAGACAATGTCATTGTTGGCCACATGCCTGTGTAACTTCTTTATCCAACGTGGCAGTGCTATTCAACTGGTCAACAACTGAAATCGTGTCCAATAAGCCAACATGTTTTCATCTGCCACAAGGGAATGAAACAAATAAATGCCCGTAAATACATGTAAATTACTAGACATGGCTTCAAGAAAATCATTTACAATAGATCAGAACGAAGAAGCTATTGGGAATTTTAAAAATGAGTTTGAAGGTAATTTGAGTAGAGCTGCTAGGGAATTGGGTATTGACCGAAAGATGGCTTTCTGAAGAACAGATAATGTCAAACAATGAGGGCTGAAGATCCAAGCGCCATATGACACTTGTCATTTCCTTTCCTTGGTTAAAATGTATTTGTTCATTTCACTTTGAATATACTATATACTGTAATTGTTTTGGTGTTTTTTCATTTTTAAATAAAAGTCAGATGTTATCCCGTCAGAACAGGCAAAATCTGTAATGAAGCCCTAGGCTTTAATTTGTGCAGTTCTGGTATGGCACGACAATGGAAGGATATAATAAATAATTTATGAATATTCAAGAGTCATTTCATTTTTAGGGCTCCAGGCAAGGAGACCTATTGTAATCGTTCGGATTATTGCCTACCCGCCGCAGCACAGAATGGGGGACTATGTATTCAGCAGCGTCTGTCCATACGTCCCTATTCTTGTTAACGTGATATCTCATGAACTGCTGTACCCAATGTCTTCAAATTTGGAGACATCCTACATTTGGGGATTACGCCGACACCTGTCGATTTTGGTCACCTTGACCTTATCTTCAAGGTCACCACGACACTTTGACCACTTTTCAAACTCTTCTTAATGCGATATTGAATTGTTGTACCCAGTGTCTTCAAATTTGGTGACTGCCTACATTGGGTGATTATGCAGACATCAGTCGATTTTGGTGACAATGAACTTATCTTCAAGGTCTACCCGTGAAGGACCGGGTTAGAATATTGATCTTCAGTAACTCATGCTTGTCGTTAAGAGGCAACTAAATGGATCGGGTGGTCAGGCTCGCTGACTTGGTTGACACATGTCATCGGTTCCCAATTGTGCAGATCGATGCTCATGCTGTTGATAACTGGATTGTCTGGTCCAGACGTGATTATTTACAGACCGCCACCATATAGCTGGAATATTGCCGAGTGTGGCGTAAAACTAAATTTACTCACTCACTCACTCACTCGCTATCTTCAAGGTCACGATGACACATTGACCACTTTTCAAACTTGCCTAAACGCAATATCACACAAAACAATGCACCCAATATCTTCAATTATGTCGACAGCCGACATTGGGTGATTAAGCGGACACCAGTCATTTCAGGCATCTTGTATGGGACAAAAAATATAAAGCAGTAAATATGATATAAATATTTCATTCTTTTTTAGCGTCGGGGGACATTGCCATGTTAGTGGCAAACACTTGTCGCATAAATTGTTACATTGAAGAACAATGTGATGGATATTGTTGCCTTGTCTCTTAGATATTATTAAATTTGTCACACATTTTGGGTTTCAAAATCATAATCTGAAGGCCTCTCTGTAATAGTGCATAATAATCGAGGAGTAATTTTTTTTATCCCCCTTAGCGAGAAGCGGGGGATATAGTATTAGGCTCCGTCCATACGGACGTACATACGAATTAGAATATCTTAAGAACCATTGACTAGATTATTTTCATACTTGGTACCTAGGTACAAGAAAGGTCCCAGTCAGGTTTGGTGACCTTGACCTTCATTTTCAAGGTCACGGTGACACTTTGAAGATTTCAGCATGTTAAACTGTGTGTTAAGATTGTCAGCAAGATATCTCAAGAACAGTTCACTGGATTTTCTTCATAGACTTTCAAGACTTCCCTTGAATGTTTTTCAATAAGCAATTTCTTTATTACTATTTTTGCATATTTCATACACCTTGACATTCATGTCAAGGTCAAAGTGAGTCTTGGAAAATATTTGTGTGTTTGAACAACAAAGCAAGATATCAAGAGAGGTTGACTGGTCATATTTTTGTTGACATTTAAAGGTCACATGCAACGTAAAACACAACTTTGCAAATTCTGATACCTTTCGGTATGGACTTACCGAAACAAATCGTCAAAAATGCAAATTCAACTTATAAAGTTGAAAAATAACGCGATGAAAAAAACCGCGCGAAATCGGAGTTCAAACGTTTCACTAATTTTCCCCCAACTTTTCTGGGGAAAACGGGTTTCAACAGCTGGGCTGCGCTCATAGCACGTGCGCAAGTAAAAGGTTCGCGCAGGTTGGAAGCGGGTTGTCGGGTGAATTCTCCGTGAAGGCTTTGGTGTGAGCTATTTTTCTAATGTTTTGTTGATATCTCACAGGCGCGAGCTTTATATGTTATGACAGTAAATTAACTGTTTATATAATTTCATTTGTCTATTTCACCACATGTTCTTCTTACCGAGTCACTTTCTCAGTTCGATACTTAAAAGCAATGTCATTATTTAGCGTTGACAGAATTTCTAACTGTGATATAGATATAGGTATAGATACCTGTGTGTCTGCCTGCCTGTCTGCTAATGACAATATTCACTACACAGCTGCTATCACTGACCACATGCAATTTGAACTTAACACCAATCAGGCTATACACCATAAACAAAATGCATTGATTTATGGCCCGAGTTCGGTCTCTGTCACATTATGTAATTACACAGACAGGCAGGTGTGATACTTGAACACATGACATGTTATGATGTCTGTTGATTGCAAAATGTTATACACAAAAAATGAGCATGTATTTACAAAACCCAACATCTCTATATATATATACACACAATTAACCGTGAGGGCATCTGCAAATGAACCAGCCGTTACACTTGAGTGCACACCCACCCGCTCTGACTGGGTTCAGTATCCCGGCTGCTTCGTTTCTTGGGAAGTAAACCGAAGTACACAATTTTGCACTTTTGATTTGCGATTGTACGCTTATAATTTTGTTTATATGTTTTTTCATAACCAACAATGTATATTATATGTCATGAATAAGTGATAATTGTGTTTTAATTATGTTTGATTTTTTGTTGCATGTGACCTTTAACTTCATCTTAAATTTCGACCTTCACTTTCATTACTTTTTAAGTTTGACTTGATAATTTGTGACAATGCTTGTTATAAAATTGCGGTGGGAATTTGAAAAAAACCAAAACAAAACAAAACAACAAAATTCACGTACCCTTCCCCTTCTAATATCTTTGAAGGATGTGAATTTCCTGATAGATTAGTTCTAAAGAAAATACGCTTCCCACTCTCAGCAGCTGGCTAATACGATTTTTCATCAGGCATATAATTCATTTTCACTTGCTATATACATTCTGACAGCTAAAATATAATCAAAATCAAATAAGTATCTTTCTTAAACGAAGGATACCAAAGTACCACAAATGTCAAAAACGAAGACGAGAGCTAGTGGGCAGAGCTTATCGGCTGGGACTGGATTGGTCTATTGCCATGAAGTGTTCTTTGAGATGTAAACTTGCATCCAGACACATCAACATGTTCAGAATTCCACCAGATTGCCACTATTCTTGCAAAAGGCGAGTTCAGTGTGCTTTGTTTTCTTTTTCCTTAGCAGATGGTGTATACACTCAACAAAACATGCTTTTAAGGTTGCTGTTTTCATACAAGGTATCATTGTCCCCTGCCGCAATGAACCGGCCAATATGTATTCAGCAGCATCCATACGTCCCGATTCTTAACGTGATACCTCATGAACTGTGGTACCCAATGTCTTCAAATTTGGTGACAGCCTACATTGGTGGATTACACAGACACCAGTCAATGTGGATGACCTTGGCTTTGACACTTTAACCACTTCAAATTTAAGTAAATGTGATATCTCATAAAATGTTGCACCCAATGTCTTCAATTATGTCGACAGCCGACATTGGGTGATTACGCAGACACTTTTCAATATCTCACCCGTATCAACACCCGGACCAGTTATTGATCATGTGACCAAAAGATTAAACAATGTAATATGTAACCCATTCATGATTAAAAGGTTGTATTGTCTTTGAAGATTTTGAAATAATTTACAGTCACCTGTTTTGAATATAATACACGGTTAAGATATTGAAAAACTTGAAATTTTATATTGCCATTTCTTACAGATTTGATTGAAAATATTTGTGTTTGAACAACTACAGAGCAAGATATCAAGAGAGGTTGACTGGTCATGTTTTTGTTGACATTTAACTTCATCTTAAATACGACCTTCACTTTCATTACTTTTTAAGTTTGATTTGATAATTTGTGGTGGGGGATTATGTCAGTGCTTGGTTTTTTAGGTTAAGACCTTTTTTCTTTTTCTTTTTCATAATATGGCTGTTTCTCTTCATATGGCTGTTTCTCTTCATAATTATACAATGATAGATGCAAAAAGATGGCTCTTTTTGTATGGAAGTAGCAGAAAAACGATGTACAGTTTGTCCAAAGGAAGACATGGCATGGTTTATATTTATGCGACACTTTGACCGATTTTCAAACTTAATTAAACACGATATTTCATAAAACATTGCACCCAATGTTTTCAATTATGTCGACAGCCTACATTGGGTGATTATGCCGACACCAGTCATTTCAGGCATCTTGTATGTGACCAATAAATAAAAAGTAGTAAATATAGATATTACATTCCTTAGCGGCGGGGGACATTGCCATATCAGTGGCAATCACTTGTTTAGTAGCTGGCAAAATCCTGGGTGGATCAGTTGCCATCTATGATTGATATGGTTTAAAAAGATTTTATTCATGAAAGAAAAGGATTTGGCATAAATTTGGGGATCCTTGATGTTTTACCTTTTATGACAAAAAGTTAAAGAGCATTTAATGAATGGAAGCAGTTGAAAAAAAACTATATACTGACATATACTTTCAGGTTGGTACATTTGATCCATACAGTGATGATCCAAGACTTGGAATCCAAAAGATGTCTATGTGCCCACTTAGTGAGACATTAGTCATTGCGGGCACAGCAGGCCAGGTAATAATTCTCCAAATGGAACGAGAAGATCGTGAGCAGGAAGTGAAGACAACTAAAGTGAACATAGTTAGTGACAGAGACAGTTTTGTCTGGAAAGGTCATGAAGCTCTGACTTTGAGAGAAGGTGATATCAAATTTGCAGCAGGTTTCCAGCCAACCTGTGTCATGCAGTTATACCCGCCAGCTGCCTGTACAGCCCTTGCTGTCCACTCAGAGTGGCAAATGTAAGTGAATCATGTTATTGGTTGATCACTTATCTTGATATATTTTACTTAAGATAAAATAAAATATTTTCCTTGCAAACTGCTGCACCAGTCTGTAACTTGTTTTACAGGTAATTGTGTCAAAAAATGTAATGCTGAATGGAAGAAAAATTGAGACTAACCTTGTTGAACAGCTGTTTCATGTTTTGTACATTATGCCCGTTCTGTAGACTGTTTGGGTGTTTGGATTGTAAATAACTGAATGGCATTGAAGGTAATGCTGGTATTGGCATACAACCTGCGATACGATATATCACGATACTAAAATTTTAGTCACGACGATATATTGCCAAAGTATCGTGCACTGAAGCTGCGATACGATACGAATCACGATCTAAGGGTGGCGAAACGATACGTATCATGATACTAAATTCTGACACCAACTATAAAACACCTTAAGATCAAAACAAAACCAGTTTTAAAGTATTTCGTCAAATTCTGCCAGCGTTGTTCAATGTTCATGTTTATACACGGACTTTGTGAATGTTGATAACATGCAAGCGCTATGCCTGACACAGTTCTTGACGCAAGAATTTCCGAAAAAATGTTTATTTATGAAGGGAAAATAAGTAAGCATATATTTTAATCCTCAAACAAACGTAAGTATTTGTTCTTGACAGACATCGCGATTCGGCAATATTCAAAGTCAAACATCGATGTATCGTGGCTCATTTGAAGTATCGTATCGGGATATACAACCATGTAAAACTTTGTTCAATTCACTGTATCGGCGGCCCATGGATCGATGCATCGTTTCGTATCGATGAATTGTCACACCACTAAGTGAAGGTCATGATCTAGTAAGTAGATGTCCAAGAAGTGACCTGTGAAGGTCTGGGTTAGAAAATTGATCTTATGGTAACCCATGCTTGTTGTAAGAGGCGACTAATGGGATTGGGTGGTCAGGCTCGCTGATTTGGTTGACACATGTCATCAGTTCAAAATGGCGCAGATCGATGCTCATGTTGTTGATCACTGGATTGTCTGGTCCAGACTCGATTATTTACAGACCACCATATAGCTGGAATACTGCTGAGTGCGGCGTAAAACTAAACTCGCTCTATCACTCACTCCAAGAAGTTGTTTACATGAGAACTTGCATGACCTCTGTGTAGTCCAGGACTGCTCTTTGGTTTAGTGGATAGAGTAGTGCTGGAAGATTGGTACTCTGATCCCTGGCTGTATTGTACCAAGACATTAAAATGGATTATCAAGGACACAGGTGTCCAGGAGTTGATATCCTGTATAATGTATGAGTCTGTTGTCAATGTTAAATGCAGCATGGTATCTCAGTGGGCTAGCAGATAGTCAGTGTGCATGAACATCATTGTAAGTGGAATTATCTTGAATTAAGGCCACTATGAAAGATTAGAAGCTTTGAGGATACAGTTCTGCAATGGGCAAGATGAATGCATATTGTTTTGTTATATCCAAGTCAGGTTTTATCGTGTTTCTGCTGATAATGTATGATGCTTTCCTTTCAGAGTGGCAGCTGGTACAGCCCATGGCTTTGGTTTGTTTGACTATGTACAGAAAAAAAGAAGTGTCCACAAGATGCACACTAAATGCTACAGGTTGGTTTCTTAACCTTTAGCCTAGTGAATTGCTAACATACTCCTTGCTATTAACTGTGTCGGCTGGATTTATTTCGGGGTGAGATGCTGTGAAAAGGGTGGGTAATTTCAAACATTCAAGGCTTCATTAAGCTTGAAACATAGACTAATATTTTTATCCCCCGCCGCGCGTTTAGAGCGAAGCGGGGGATATAGTATTAGACTCCATCCGTCCGTCCGTACGAATTGGAATATCTTAAGATCCATTGACTAGATTCTTTTCATATTTGGTACCTAGGTTCATCACAGTATAAGAAAGGTCCCAGTCAGGTTTGGTGACCTTGACCTTCATTTCAGGGCCCAGTCGATTTTGGTAAACTTCACTTAATTTTCAAGGTCTTGGCGACACTTTGAAGACTTCAGCATGTTCAACTGCATGTTAAGATTGTCAGCAAGATATCTCAAGAACAGTTCACTGGATTTTCTTCATAGACTTTCAAGACTTCCCTTGAATGTTTTCAATAAGCAATTTCTTTACTACTATTTTTGCATCTTTCATACACCTTGCATCTTTCAGTCTTGAAAATATTTGTGTGTTTGAACAACTAAAGAGCAAGATATCAAGAGAGGTTTATATTTAACTTTATCTTAAACTTTCATTACTTGTTACGTTTGATTTGATAATTTGCAGCGGGGATTATGTTACCTTAGTAACAGTGCTTGTTCACATTTATTCCTGGTAGTTAAAAAGACATCATCAAAAAAATTAATATTTGTAACCTGCTTTAAGAGCCCTTGTCACCCGTTGCAATGCGGAACGGGGGACTATGTATTCAGCGGCATCCATACATACGTACGTCCAGATTCTTGTTAACGTGATGTCTCGTGAGCTTTTGTACCCAATGTCTTCAAATTTGGTAACAGCCTACATTGGGGGATTACCCAGACACCAGTTGATTTGGGTGACGTTGACCTTATCTTCAAGGTCACCACGACATTTTGACCGCTTTTCAAACTCTTGTAAACGTGATCTCATAAAACATTGCACCCAATGTCTTCAATTATGTCGACAGCCTACATTGGGTGATTATGCAGACACCAGTGATTTCAGGCATCTTGTATGTGACCATAAAATAAAAAGTAGTAAATACGTTATAAATATTCCATTCTTTAGCGGCGGGGGAGCATTGCCATATTAGTGGCAAATACTTGTTGGTATTGTTTTCTTCATTATATGTTATTTTCTGTTAAGATCTAATGGGAACATCAGAAACGCCAATGTCCAGAAGAAAATCTTTGAAGAAATCTTTGAGAGAGTCCTTTAGACGACTTAGGCGTAGGAGATCAGAGCGGAGGAATAGAGATGACAAGACCAAGGAACAGAAAATCACGTAAGATAAATAGCTTTATAGCTCACCTGACAAAGTGGGTGGGTGGTTGTGGTCATGTAATGTAACAATGAGGCCTGTTTACTGATTTATAGGATGGAAGAACAGACTCATTTTTAATTCTATTGGGTCCGTGGTTATTTAAGGGGAACTGATCGCCAACAATTTGCTGACTGGTGTTGCCTTTATTTTGTTATTGTTTTCTCTCCCAATGTGCATACCAGGATGAAATCCCAAACATCAGATTCACGATTAATGCTTCACAAACTATAAGCACATTTGAGAGTAAAAGGGATTATCCTCTAATTGATCAACAAAGAATTTCATCTTGAAATTATAAGGGATGTTAAATCTTTGTTTTGCATCTGTTACATACATCTCAAAGTCTCTTGCTCGGCCTTCTGTGATTTGATTTAAAGGTCACATGCAACCAAAAAAACCAAACATAATTAAAACACAATTACCACTTATTCATGACATATAATATACTTTGCTGATTATGAAAAAAACAAATAAACAAAATTATTAGCGTACAATCGCAAATCAAAGTGCAATATTTTGTACTTGGGTTTACTTCCCTTGAACGGAAGCACCCGGGAGACTGTAGCCAGTCAGAGTGGGTGGGTGTGCACCTACATGTAACGAAGGCTTTCAGTGGCTGGTTCATTTGCCGATACGCTGAGGGCTCATTGTGTGTGTGTGTGTATATAGAGATGTTGGGTTTTGTACATGCTCATTTTTTCTGCATTTGCGTTCGATCCAATCAACAAATACTGAGATGGTGAACTACTGCGTGGCTGGAAACTGTCGTTCATTCAAGAACAAAGCAGGACTTGAAACTGACAAACTGAGTTTGCACCGGTTTCTGTCAGATCCAGTCATCCAAGAAAAATGGATGCAGTTTATTTGCAACCCACAGACATAATAACATGTCATGTGTACAAGTATCACACCTGCCTGTCTGTGTAATTACATAATGTGACAGACAGAACTCAGGTGCACAAGCCATAAATCAATGTATTTTGTTTATGGTGTATAGCGGTATTAGCCTGATACGTTTCAAGTTCAAGTTCAAATTGCATGTGGTCAATGATTGAAGTTGTGTATTGCATATTGTCATTAGCAGACAGGCAGGTAGACACTTAAGTGTCAATAAAACACTTTTTTCAACTTTATAAGTTGAATTTGCATTTTTGATCATTTGTTACTGTAAGTCCATACCGAAAGGTATCAGAATCTGCAAAGTTGTGTTTTACGTTGCATGTGACCTTTTAGCTGTTTGGACATAAACAAACTAATGTTTTCACCTGAATACTGCAAATCAATCAAATTGTTTTATATATGTTATAGCCACAGTGAGAAATGACTGAAATTATTACATAGGCAGTTAATAAAATGAAATGTTTTTAAACACTTTGTAACTTATGAAACAATTTTAGTCAGTCTGTTAAATAAAGGGGCAGAGTCTTTAGTCTATTTGACTATATCCCCATGCATTATGTGCCGGGGGCATTAAAACAAAAAGCAGATACTCTAAATTACAACCGACAAATTCTTTTTGTATAATATTAGGCGGTTATCTTTTTTCGGAGAATTTATCCAGTAATATCCATAGGCTTTTTTCATGGTGAGGTGAGATACCATCCGTGACAGCTATTTTTATGATATCCGTCATTCATCATTTCCCGTAAAGGTCTGGGTTAGAATGTGCTTTCAGTAACCCATGCTTGTCGTAAGAGGCGACTAACGGGATCAGTTGGTCAGGCTCGCCGGCTTGGTTGACACATGTCAACGGTTCCCACTTGCGCTGATTGATGCTCGTGCTGTTGATCACTGGATTGTCTGGTCCTGATTATTTACAGACCGTCACCATATAGCTAGAATATTGCTGAGTGTGGCGTAAAACTAAACTCACGCACTCATTCGTCATTTAGTTAACAGTTTATAAAAATATGTCTTATTGTCTTATGTCAGGTGATGAATCCTAGGTGGCATCTGATTGACATTTTCCAAGTAATGTTACGACTTCCAGTGTTGTTTTTCTCTCATCATAAGGTTTCTGGGGGTGTCAGCGATGCATTTTATTGGTTGTTGGGGTATAATTCATGTTTGCAATTCAAAAGTTGGAGGCACAGTCTTAAGCATAGTAATAGCGATTTATATGGTTTACACACTTGGGCTGTGTTTGAGTGAGTAATTATGGTCATTACTCAATTATGAAAATTGGCATTCATTTTGCATACTTATTGTCCCCCACCACAACGTGGAATGGGAGCCTGTCATCAGAAGCGTCCATACATCTGTAGTCCCGATTCTTGTTAACGCAATATCTCATACACTGTTGTACCAAATATCTTCAAATTTGGTGACAGCCTACACTGGGGGATTGCGAAGACACCAGTGGATTTGGGTGACCTTGACCTTGTTTTCAAGGCCACCACCACACTTTGACCACTTTTCAATTTTATGTAAATATGATCTCATAAAACGTTGCACCCAATTTTAGCCTCAGAGCTAACGACAAATATTGCCATTTCTTACAGATTTGATGTCAGGAATAAACATAACGGGTATCAGGGTAGGGTAATAGGGGGCTGGGGTACCTGGGTAGAAAATATGGACCTATCCCAGCTCTAATACACACTGATACTGACAGTGGATATGAGCATCTGCATCTATACATTCAAATCTACTATATTCCTGAAATATCTTCACAGTTTGGAGAAGACACCATGACTAAAAACTACATCACACAAAAGGTAATCTTCTACATGACCCAAAGATAAAAACTAGTATATATGTGATATTTCATTCGTCTTTAGGAGTGGGGAACATTGCCTTGTTAGTGGCAAACACTTGTTTTTAATTTCTATTTAATGCTCTTAAAAGGCTAATGAAAGGTACAATGTCACACATTTTCGACAATATTTTGGCCTATATTATCAGTGTAGGAAAGATAGCCCGTCCCAACGTCCGAGACGGGTGAATTTTGTGGAGGACGGGTTAAAAAAATATCTAGTCCGTCCTCATGTCGGGTCAATTTTAGCAAATGACAATATATGACATATATATAATGATTATAACCTTTTTGAATATTTACTGCCGAAGGTGTTTTATTTATATTTGGAGGACAGGCTAGATTTTGGCAGGACTGGTAAAAAATTTGACCTGCCAGTCCTGTGGACAGGCTAGATTTTCTACATCTTTCCTACACTGATATTATATATATTGGGGCACATGCACTCACTGATCTGGCAAAACATGTCGAGTAGCAGGTTCAGATAGTTACCCTCTGCTGCGCGTTTAGCGCGAAGCGGGGGATATAGTATTAGGCTCCGTATGTACGAATTGAAATATCTTAAGAACTGTTGACTAGATTCTTTTCGTAGTCATCCCTCGCAATAACCCTCTTCACGATACCGCGGATTCAGTTAAACAGCTGGGTAATCCTTGGCTCCCATAAAAAAAGTTACCCAGTGATCACACATATTCACGTCGTCGAAAATAGCACATCAACAAATCCACTGTTGAGCTCTGGTTAATCACGTTGTAAACTAGTGAAAATCAGTGCAGATTCCAATCAGGGTTTTTTTGTACATATCCATGTTTTTTCAGATGCTTAAAACATGCAGGGTTTTTTTCAATAATAGTAGATGAACAGCGAAACATCGTAAAAACTTTATCATAAAGACATGCCATCAGCCAAGTACTTACAACGTTTGCTGTGATGCAACACACCGCGTAATTGCGCGGGTAAGCACCGCCATCCGAGAATGTATGATGTCAGAAAATACATTTTATTTGATTAAATTCAATCCCATTTACATTCATTAAAACTGTTTACAAAAACAACGGAGAAACCGTGAGTGAAATGGCATTACCTCATTCCATACAACATCCGCTTATCACATTCGTGAGGGTCCGTTTTTCGCTCCTACCGCGATAGCACCAATTTCACATTTTTCTCAGCAATCACAAACAGATTACAGCCTTGTTATCCACTGACCCCAAGACCTGCGTTATTGACTCATTGAAGTCATATTTTACAATTAATTGCCAAAATTTTGTTTTTACAATCAAATTGGCACGTACCACGGAAAGTCAGCGGTGACTTGTCAAACTGTCTCCTACATAAAATGTTTCCAGCCAGGTAACCAAAAGTGCTTAGCAATGCTAATTATTATGTTAAATATGTTTGTAGAAAACATGCATTATACTTATACGATAGCAATATATAAGATCTCTGTTAGAATAACTGCTTGACATATAAATTATTCTGATAATGGAATAGAAATTCTTTGATTTTATATTTTTGGATCGTTTTTAACTGAATCACCGGTACATTGGACCAAAACATCGATCTGTGCACAGCTGATTGCTATTTCCGGCTTAGTTGAATAACAGGTAGCATGACAGGAACAACAATTGAATTATCATGTCTTGTGATGTTTGATTGCAAGTTTCATGTACATACATCTATTTTCATTTACAAAGTTGTTTGTTTTTTCACCTCCAACAATACGATATAGTTTTGACTGGGCACAATACACGAAATAGCAGTTTTGTTATGTCCATGGAAATACGATTTTACTTGGCCTTTGTTCCGTGTTATGTAATCGTTACTATAACGCGGGGGTTTCATCCATGGACCCCAAGGCCCGCGTTATGGCGAGGGATGACTGTATTTGGTACCTGGGTTCATCACAGTATGAGAAAGGTCCCAGTCAGGTTTGGTGACCTTGACCTTCATTTCAAGGTTACAATGGGGCTTTAACGTTTTACCGTTGTCAGTGAGATATCTCAAGAACAATTCACTGGATTCTCTTATAGAATTTCAAGACTTCTCTTGAATGTTTTTTGATAAGCAATCTTTCTTTACTACTATTTTTGCATCTTTCATACTCCTTGACATTCATGTCAAGGTCAAAGTGAGTCTTGAAAATATTTGTGTGTTTGAACAACTACAGAGCAAGATATCAAGAGAGGTTGACTGGTCATGTTTTTGTTGACATTTAACTTCATCTTAAATTAAGACCTTCACTTTCATTACTTTTTAAGTTTGATTTGATAATTTGCAGCGGGGGATTATACAATGCTTGTATAGAATGTTACATCTCTGTATTATTTATTTTCATTTCAAACCATGTCTTTAGTGTTAATCGAGGCTTAAGTTCATTCCACATGTTTGTTCTTAATATTTGAGTAACCTGCAATGAAAATGCCAGATATCATGAAATGTTATGCCTGCCAAAGCTTTCACTCCAAGTTTTGGAAGATTTGGGATTTTATGCCAAACAACAAACTGACAAGACAAATGCAAAACTATCCAAAAATAACTAAGATATGAACCCTCAGGGTTTTCAATGACGCATGATTCCTGCATGTGTGACTCAACAATTTTCTAAAAGACTCTCAAAATATTATCATATGAGTCGAGCTTGACGCAAGTTTTATGAGTGACCCTCAGAATACAGTTCAATAAAATCAATTTGATATGCAAACAATGATAGCTTTCGTTTTATTGCAAATTGTGTTGAAAATGCTTGTGTTATTAACAGAAGGTACAGGGACACCGAGTGGTTAAAATAGAGCTATGCTGCAATGCAGTAAAGATACCAGCCAATAGCATTTGAGTAATTCATTCACTTTATTTAGACAGCCAATAGCAGTTGAGTACATCATTCGCTGTTTAGACTATGTTTTGGACATTTAAGCATGGCCGGTCCTGCTAAGAAACAGCGGTCGCTTGACTTATGTTTCGGAAATGAAAGAGAAAACAAATCTCTGTGAGTTATGAGAGACTATAGACATTATATACTAAAATACTTTAAAATATATGTTTAAGCCCTGTAAAATGCGTAGAATGTTTTACCATGTTTATGAGTTAATGTTTTTAAATATACACATGAATATATACATATTTACATACAAGGAATACCACAGTTTAGAGCTAAAGTATAAAACAGTATTAAATACAGTAGAACACGGATATAACGAACTCCAAGGGACCACGAAATTTAGTTCGCTATATCCGGTGTTCGTTATTCACATTTGACCGCCATCTTGGATTGTAGAGATGTAGAGACACGTATATGCTGAGGCTACAAATATTTATTCTTGTACATGTACATTGACATAACATTAAAATTCTGAATTTATCATTCACAGACATTAGCTAGAACATGTTTAACAATCACAACAATCTCAACAATACATGTATATAACTTAATTACGTTTAACAAAGTCCACAATTTTGGTCTGCACACCACGTCTTGCAGACTTCATTTTGTCGACTGCATCACAGACATCTGCAAGAGAGTTGAAGGTAGAATTATCTGTACCTTCACAAACAAGTAGATGACGTAGTGTCTCTAATGCTGCATTGGCCTCAGCAAAGGATGGCTTCGGGCGAGGTTCATCATCTTCACTATCAGAGTTGGGAGCGGGTGTGACAGTGGGCGTGGCAAACTGCTGGGCTACTGACGTCACAATCTCGTCTTCAGTAGGGCGTTCGGCTGTAACAACTTGATTGTCAGCATTGATGAAGTCGTCCAACGTGACATCTGCCGGGATTTCTTCTGCTTTATCTGACAGTTCATTCCACATAACTCTGAGGTCGGAAAGTACCATGTTGTCTGTCTCATCGTCTGACGAACCTTGATCTCGCTCAGGAAGGACAAAGCCTCCCTTCCGATAGCAGTTGGCGATCGTCTTAGATGTGACCTGTCTCCAAGCGGCATGAATCATCTGGATGGCATCAAGGAGAGTGATTTGATGTTCTTTCTTCTGATCATAGGCAGTCAGCATTTTCCTCATTACCTGGCCCTTGTACAGTTGTTTCAGGTTTGCTATTATACCCTGGTCCATGGGTTGAATCTTACTCGTAGTGTTCGGTGGAAGGAAGACCAGTTTGACGTGTGTCAGGTGTTTCACAACAGGATGGGCAGGACAATTGTCTACAAACATCAGGATCTTACGTTTTTGTCTTGTCATACTCTTTTCCAGGTTTTTGATCCACTCTGTGACAAATTCACCAGTCATCCAGGCCTTGGTATTTGATCTGTACGTTACTGGCAAACTGCGTACATTTTTTAAGCATCTAGGCTTTGCTGACTTGCCTATGACTAACAACTGAAGTTTTTCACTCCCGGACATGTTTGCCGCTACCAACAATGTTATTCTCTCTTTAGAATTTTTCCCCCCACTGCATTTTTCAGATTTAAAGTGAAGAGTTCTGTTTGGTTTCATTTTGTAGAAGAGGCCAGTTTCGTCAGCATTGAAAATGTTATCAGGCTTGTACTCTTCAAGATAGCCAGGCAGGAGAGTTTACAGCCAATCATTGACGAGGTCGGGGTCAACAGATGCACTTTCCCCGTGACTTGATTTACATACGATGCCACGCCTCTGTTTGAATCTGTCAATCCAAGCACTACTGCAATTAAAATCTAAATGACCTAACTTAGATGCCAATTCATTTGCCTTAGTCTGCAACATGGGACCATTTAAGGGAATGTTCTCACTTCTAGCCCCTTGAAACCATTTGTAGAGAGCATCTTCTACATCTTGGTGATTGGCAGCTCTTAAAGGTCACATAAACCCTAGGGGGTACAAATACATAAATCACTAACTGGCATCGTTATAAATGAAACCCGTCATTAAAACTACTCATTTCGACCTTTAATTGACTTAAATCGACCTTTTTGACAACAGTGCACAATTCTCACCCGCGAACGAAATTTCAACCAATCAGAGCGGCGCGCCTCTGTGACGTCATATGAGGAATAGCTTTGAGGGCCGATGCAGAATTCATCTACATTTTAGGGGTTAAATTATCTTGTTTACAGGCTTGTATAAACCTGAAATCGTGACAATTGTTGTGGAAAATGAAAGCTATATGTTCTCACAATCTACTGTCATTTAATTTTGTCTCCTGCTTTGCCTAGTTTCCGAGTTACAACTTGTTTTCATAGACGATTCTGTCAAAATCGATTGGTGTCGTTAGGCCCTATTTGTATAATGAATTGATCCCATTTCTGTGTTTTTTTACCTCGATATTTAATCATGTCATGTAAAAATCTGTTTGTATTCTCAAAACAGTGTCAGCCCATTGGTTTTCACATGCAATACAGCAATTAATACTCCCTTGTTGTAACCCGTGTTAGGTGGTATAAACCTACACATGTTATTTGTCATCATTCACTTGATGGTCAGTTAATGAATTTATAACAGGTATAATTAGTGGTAACACACTTAGATTACCCGACAAAGGTTCCCATTTGGCATTTCTTGTGTCTGGAGTAAATATTCAACATTATAAACATCGATCAAAGGATTAACCGATAACACGCTGATTGATTAATTACTTTTATCTTACACAGCGGAATTGTCAAAGGTAGTGTTTATGTATGTAGATTTACTAATCTATACTGAATACACTCTGTCGTAATCGGTGTCTCGCGTAAAAACAACGTCCTTCTTTCAAAGGATTAACCCGGCAATACATTGATTGATTGCCCATTATTGGCTAACTAAATTACTGTTTTTAAAGAAAGGCGGACATTATGCAATTAGTTGCCAGGTGTGCTATCTTGGGTGACCAATGAGACTATACACCAATACCTGAAAAGATTTATCACTTTTCGTATATTAAACTGTTATAAGACACATCATTTGGAACAGTTTTGTGGATATTGATGGATACATTCCTCGAACAAGGTAATGGCCTGATATTGTTCCTATAACTTTAATCTGTTTTAATTTTAATATTTGCATTTTGTTTTATTCATTTGTCGTAGCATATCAACAGAATCATTGTTTTCGCCGTGAAGTGTAATGAGACAGACAACATGCACTAGGGTGTGTGTAATGCGAATTATGATTCACATTGGCAAACTATATAATGTCTAGATATTACAGTTCTGTTATAAATTCACTATAAGTATTCAGCAGATCGTCTGCTTTTTATTAAGTTTCAAAATGCATACAAGTATTTAATTAGGATTATAAGACCAAATATAAAGGCATACATTGATTAGTATCTACATACTGGTGAGTGGACATTAACCATTGGAATGTAGCAAGAAATTTATCGGCGCAGTATTGTGACTTCGACCCCCACCCTCGCTTCCGTGGAAGAAATCGTTATGTTATAAGTTGTGTCATGCAAAATCTGTTTGGTTATGATTCCAATACATATTTAACTACTGAGTAGAAAGTAGTCTTGGTTTTCTAACTTGATGAAAACAAACTATAATCTCATTAATTCTAACAGATTTTTTATTTTTAAAATGGATAGCCCTGTCGGGAACATCCGCCAGTCTGAGGATAAATGGTATTTAGGTTTGTTTTCACCGAGTTAAAATCAAAACTACTTTCTACTGGTAGTAAAATATGTATTTTATTGATGGCCAATAGGATTTTGCATGACATATAGCAATATAACATAACAATTTCTCTCCTGGCAGCGAGGTGGGTGTCAATATAATACTACTTACAATATTATTGTTGCCGACCACAACCTCGCTTCCGAGGAAGAAATCGTTATGTTACAAGTTGTTGTCATGGAAAATCTTTATGGTCATCAATCATATACATATTTTACTACAACTAGTAAGTAGTTTTGATTTTTAACTTCCGTGAAGCGATCTGAACACTGGTAAGATATCGTTTCAGGCTTCCAGCGCTTCGCCAAGACTCACAAACATAACCCATTTAGCACGAACTGCGCGGGTCCTGTGGAAATCTGTGCATGGGGACACCATCGCCCGACCCTAGGAGCAATTGGCGACAAAGCAACGATTTGGCATGTCGTCGTTGATGTTGAGAAATCATCAAAATGATGAGCGTGCTACACATTTTCTATACAACTAACTGAAAATCGTTCCTCATATGACGTCACTGCAGTGCTCTGGCGACAGAGTTACGTAACCTGTCTGTGGTTTCGTTGGCGGGCGAGAGGGAAGCAGGCGACTTTTTTGCCTCTTTTAATCGCTCGGTATTAATTAACCACAAGTTTTTAAAGAATGAATTTGGTGTTCCGCATAAGACTAACCACAAATCTTTCATATGTAATGGTTAAAAGAGTAACAAAAAACAAAGTTTATTGGTTCTTTAACTTTTTGCGGGCGGGGCCAAAATCAGTTGACACAGATTTTGCAAGAATCGATTCGCGATTCTTAATAATTGAACTGAGCGTGGATTTTGGAATGCCAAAGTCGAAGGCGATGTTTGTCTTAGATTTTACACCTGAATCTACAGCCTGAATTATCTGAAGCTTGGTGTCAAAAGTGATGGCTTTACGTTTGCCTGCCATAGTGACGAGAGTGCACTGAAGACCTGTATACCAGTCAAGCTTTTAAACACGACATGTTTGTTTTGTTAAACACGTTAATGACCATCGAACAATGTTGATTCGCCGCCAACAAGGTTGATGTATACCGCTAAGTGGCTGAGCTGACACTGAGTGAGTTCGCTAATCACGTCGTTAGTTGGGCTTGGGGGTAGTAAATCAGTTCGCTATAGCCGTTAATTCGCTACTCACGAGTTCGTTATTCGCGTATAATTTTAATGATATTATAAAGGACTGTTGACGGGACTTTTAAATTTGTTCGCTATATCCGTTTGTACGCTATATCCGTGTTCGCTATATCCGTGTTCTACTGTATTATATGAAAATGATATCACAGGTTTTGATAATATAAAATCCACAATTTCAATATCCTGGCGTACAGCGAAGTTATCCATCATATGGTGACATTAAACAAATGCGCACTCTTTATATCATAGCTTAAAACGTCACGATATGGCCGAGATATTGCCGATGTGACGTTAAATATTAACTCACTCACTTATAGCTTAAAAGATATCCCTGCTGATACTTTTTAAGATTGGATGTATCTACAAGTTATCAATGGTGTAGAACACTGCACTAACTTTTACAGAAATGAACATGTCATTGAGGAAATGGAGGATTCGATCTTCCATGTTATGGAAGAACAGCAAATTGAGGCAATATAGAGCAGTCCATAAATTGGCCTTACGTTGGATGAGGCCTGTGACATCACCATAGAAAAAAAACAAACTTGCAATTTATGTCATGTATATTGATGGTGAACTCTGAGGAGGGTGAACCTGCTGGTATACAGTATACTGTAGTTTGTTATGATTGAATTGAACAGTGAAAAATATACTATTTTATTAACTAAGGCCAGACCAATTTTATTTCTTGTTTTACAGATTTTTGTCCACAGAAAGCCTAAAGGCAGGAGGGAATAAAAAATATCCGTAAAACAAGAAATAGAATTGGTCTGGCCTAATCATATAAATGACAATACAACACAAAACAACAAAATCTTTGCAAAACTGATTTTTGATTTACACAAAGAAATATTACACAAATATTTTTTTTTTTTCATGACTCCATGAACCCTGCCATGTGTCAACTAAGTTGAATATGTAAACTAAGTGTAATAGACCGATCCAGTCTGTCAATCAAAACTGGCACATGCGTCAATTTTGGCCATCAGCAGGCCGGGCGCGGTGTGTGGATTTGTCAGACTTATTTCCGGGTGTCAAACAATGCCTCCAAAGCAATGTGCTTCGAATTATGCCATTTACACACGCTATATCTATTACATATTGCTGTGATTTTATGTGTACTTTTGGCAAAAACATTACGGTCAAGACAAAAAAAATTTGAGGCGGATCAAGGAGCACGATAGGTCTTGTGATCAGATAATTGTCTGCACCATCGTTCATGAAACCTACGTCATGCCCGCAGATGAGAATTTGCACGAATTTCCACACTTTTGCACATGTGCAAAATCATTACCAATTGATGACAACAAATAGCAGTTTAAGACTTTGCAAGTGTTATAACCAAGGACAATTCTTGTAACTACTAAATTGTTTTTACTTAACGTTTTTAGTCACTACTGGACATAGAGGTGGTACGCCATAAAGCTGAAATGAGACAGACGAGAAAGCCGTGACACAATGTAAACAAATCTGACAGCGATCTGATTTCGGTTCTAGGGTCGACGGAAATAGCAAAACTTGTTACATTAAAGAGCAATGTGGCGGATACGGTTTCCTTCGCTCTTAGATATTCTTAAATTTGTCACACATTTTAGGATGTTTTAAGTATCAAAAGCACAATCTGAAGGCCTACTGCACAGTATCTTGTTAATAGTGCAAAATATTTGAGGAGTAATATTTTTTATTCAAACGAACATATTGTCAGTGTCAGCAGTTGCCTATCATGTAATATCCAAATATCAAAATTCATTCATATGAGTGCCTTGAAAACGATGCTTCAAATATTTCAGAATTTTTATAAAGAGATGGATGGGACTTTGAATTGAATTACGTTCCTCCATGTGGATCGAATATGAAAACTGTGTGAGAAGAATAGTGACTTTCTGGAGTATTGGGCAGAGTGAAATAAAGTGTACATACTAATTATGAGGACATTTGAAGTTTTGTTACAACATAACATTATTCACATATATTGGTAGATTTTTATTAATTCACTGGAAATGATAGCAAGGTATGTTGTCCTGATCTATCACCTCTATAGT